CTTTTCAATTATTACAATTAGAAAACACAGGCCTATTTAGTTATAGTTTATTAATTACTAGCTGGAGTACCCTCACCTGGACGGAAGTTATGTAAATTCGTGATTAATTAAAGGTTATCTTAGAACGTGAAAAGTTGCTTCCCTTATATGTAGTTGTAAAAAACGCTCATAAAAACTGCAAAACACAAAATGTGAAACCGCAAGTTTGCATTTATATTCGCGTGGAGCCATTGACCCATTTAGTGAAGATTCACCCGCAGGAGGTGATGTAGTGGTAAAAAACGAAAAAAAAAACACAATAAACACCGCCAAACACAAAATGCAAAACTGAAAATTTGTGTGTATTTCCCCATGAACCCAATGAATCTCCACACTAAATTTGGTGAAGATCCATCCACATTCTGCGAAGTAGTTACATGGACATACAACAGATCGCACTATTATTTTTAAATAGATACATCTACTAATACATCATATATTCAACCTCACACACAAGAGAAATGTGCAGAATTAGCATGTGTGTGTGAAAAAGCAAACAGTAGGCCTAGCCTTTAAAATAAAATTATGCTGTCTACCATAAAATAGACTACGTGAAAAGAGTAAGGCTTAAATTATAATACTTACTGTGTATAATACGATTGAAGTCAAGTCAGCGAATGTATTTTGTTCTACTTTTTTGTCTCCAGGTGGTTTGATATCTGGAAGTGAATTTTCTTTTCTTTTAATACATTGTGAAGTACAATATTGCATTTTATTTGTGTTTTTTAAACGAGATCCACAACTCGAGCGCTTTCGAACAGTCGACTATTCTTCTTCAGGAGAATAAAGGTAACTATGCTAGTTGTAAATAAAACATTATCCACAGCAATATTTGCAATATATTTTTATAATTTAAATTTGTACTGAGGAAATAGACAGAAAACCGATGACCAATTTACATTCCAGTTGTTATTATTATTTTTCTAACTTTCGCAAAATTACTGCTAAGTTGACATTAACAATCGACATAAGTGTATTTGAAATAACACGTTTCAGGAAATGAAATGTGGGTTTTATACTTTATATGTAAAAATAAAACAAAAATGTCCTTCCCTACAGAGCAATGTAGTTAAATATTACATATATAATTGCATGGATAAAAATTTTTTATCGTAATTTACGTTAATTCTACACGACAAGGAAAGTTTGCCAAGGCATATTATGTTCTGGTTACATTTGTTATCAAATAGTTATTAAAATATGGATTTATATAGCCTGTGTGGTAGTAGAAGAAAACAAATGGAGCTATCCTAAGATCAATAATGATAAGTACATTATTAACAAGTTAACCTTTATCTAATTCTACGTTTAGATAAATTTAACATGAGCCAAATCGAATGATATACAAAGTCATGTAATGTGTACTAGTGTGGTATTCTCAGGTGCACTAAAAATACTTTGAAACTATGTCGGATAACCTTACCAAACAGGAGTGTCAATTAGGATATGAAATTATGAATCATTGTATAACTTGTACTGATTGAGTTAGCATACTGAACACAAATTATAAAACACAGTGAAAACAATCTTTATTATACAGAACTGTGTACTTGCCTGGATACGGACAGTCGTTTCTCTATCAGGGCAAAAATTAGGGTTAGACTCTGATTTGTCTTGGAATAACTATAAGAGAGGTATCTAATTTCAAAGAAACCTCATATTTACCTAGAGCGACTGAAATACCACGTGACTGTCTTTCTCATTCCACATAAATTGGTCCTGTAAAAAGAATGGAGGACACTGCTATTGACTTACTGATTCACGATCACACTAAGTAGTGTTCTCCACAGGTGATAACAGGTATTACCAATTTTGAAAATGGCAAAGAAACAAAGGTAAGTTTATATAACTATTTTCTTGACCACGTGTCATATGTAAACCTGTACATACACAGAAATCGGAACAAATAATGGGTTCAGAATATAAATTGATACCACAGAAAGATGAAACACGTGGTATAGTCCTAGGCCGTACTAGCGCTTAAAATCTAATATATATATATATATAAATATTTATGTTTTTTGTTATTTTTTTTTTAATTTCACGCAAAGCTACACGAGGACTATCTGCGCTAGCCGTCCCTAATTTAGCAGTGTAGGACTAGAGGGATGGCAGCTAGTCATCACCACCCATCACCAGCTCTTGGTTTACTCTTTTACCAACGAATAGCGGGATTGACCGTCACATTATAACGCCCCCACGGCTGAAAGGACGAGCATGTTTGGTGGGACGGGGATTCGAACCCGCGACCCTCAGATTGCGAGGTCGATCGCCCTAACCACCTGGCCATGCCGGGCATATATATATATACATATATACGGAAATACTGAAATTGCAAGCAACAAGAGAAATCAAAGAACCTTCTAGCTCCAATTATGCACTGCAACAGCATTACAGATAACACAGACAACTGTAAACCCGAATGTTTTATTTTTTTCCCCATTTACAAACTTCTTTCACTAATCTTATCCATCCCTTCTTTCGGCAGTAAGGCTAAGGATTCAGTTAATACCAACATTTACGAGATAACAACGACGTTTGATCTATTTCCTTTCCACTCGTATAAGAAAGAAAATAAGAAAATAAAATCACTACGGAAAACCAGGCAAGGTTGTGGGCTTACAACACTAAAATATGGGGCTTGATACCCCGCGGTGGACAGAACGCAAACAGCCTATTGTGTAGCTTTACGCTGAAACAACAACAACTCTGTAAACGCTTTAATAGTGAAGTTTAAACGTACAATGAGGTATGAAAGTTATTTTGTAAAAGCATAAATTAAAACCTAGAAAAATCCTATACTGATGTATTGTATATCAAAGTAAATAGTAGTTTGGTTTCATTTGTTTTGAACTTCGCGCAAAACTACATGAGGGATATCTGTGCTAGCCGTCCCTAATTTAGCAGTGAAGACTAGAGGGAAGGTAGCTAGTCAATACCATCCACCGCCAAATTTTGGGCTATTCTTTTACCAATGAATAGTAGGATTGACCGTCACATTATCACGTAAAAAAGTGCGAGCATGTTTGGTGACAGGGATTTGAATCTGCGATCCTCAAATGGCAAATCGAGCGCCCCACTAGAAATTGGATATTTTTAAATTCTATATTTGAAATAGAACTGCTTTTGAAAGATACAAAAATTGTTTTCCTCTGGAATTTATGAATCAATCAATTAAATTAAAGTTTCTATATTATTTAGTACAGTCAACATTTTCTCAGTTACTTAAAGTAATAACGTGTTTCTTTAGATACCAACGTGGACGTTTCACCGGATATTATTTTTGACTTCTCATCTCTCAGGCAATCTAAAAAATGTTGTTGAATAAAGATACACCAAGAGCATCGATATTTGTATCTAATAAATTACAAATTTAAAAAAGAGAGAGGTATTTTTTATTGTTTTTATTCGTGTAAGTTTTATGTTTTATCATACTCCTTGTACAGATAGAGGTTAGTTGTTAAAATATTTTCAATTGATTTGACACACAGTCTTTCTTTATGCTTTAAAAAATGGTTCTTATATATATATATATATATAAAGCTTACTTAGATATCACCAAAAGCTTAAAAACATACTTTAAAATGTACATAGTGGAACCAATGCTACACTCTGAATCCGTTTACACTTGACGTGAACAGACGCTATAAAACGACTAAAGCCGTTCACACTTAACGTGAACAAACGCTACATAAAGACTAAATTGGTTTATATCCAACGTGAACAAACGCTACAAAAATACTAAAGCCGTTTACACTTAACGTAAACAAACGATACATAAAGACTAAATCGGTTTACATCCAACGTGAACAAACGCTACAAAAATACTTAAGCCGTTTACACTTAACGTAAACAAACGATACATAAAGACTAAATCGGTTTACATCCAACGTGAACAAACGCTACAAAAATACTAAAGCCGTTTACACTTAACGTAAACAAACGATACATAAAGACTAAATCGGTTTACATCCAACGTGAACAAACGCTACAACAACACTAAATCTTCCTCGTTTGAGGCGAGCACGAGAAGAGCAGCATTGTTAAAGAAAAGGAACTCTTACGAGTCGCTCGGACTCTTAACGTATAATTATTAGGAAAATAAGACGGAAATTTAAGGTTCTTGCCGGATACTTACTGACTAAAACAAGTGGAAAAAGATAAGGTGAACTAAAAATTATGTCAAAATGGCTTGAAATTTTTATTAGAGCACACGAAAATCTATGAAAATTCTCCCCTCCCGAGCCCCAAGAGTACATTAAACATATCAGTAAATTCTCAACTTCTGATATAATAAAACAATGATTGAATGTTGTTAGATCGGATGGTAAACAAGAATAATTCAGCTCAATAATTAAAAACAATGTTGTGATATCTGTAAAAGATACAGGTAAACAGGCTTTAAAAAGTTGAATAACTCATTTAAACACCCCTGTACATCTAACCGTGGAACTACGAAAAACAACATTTTTGAAAATTTTACTTTTAACTAAAGGAATGGAAGACATATGCTATCTAAATGTTGAGGTTCATTCTTCTATTAAATAAAAAGAATAAATAATATATATTTTATTAAATTTCAATAAAATTTTAGGGTGTAGTACATTGTGCAAAAGTGATGTCTCACGATTAACAAGACACAACCCATGCAGCTTGACACTGATAGTTATAAATTAACAAGACTCAACCCATACGGCTTGACACTGATAGTTATAAATTAAC